GGTGAAGTGAGATAACATGATATTTTAAATGATCATTAAATAAACAAAGAAGTTTATTGTATTTACTTCTTGTCACGGTTTTTAATTCTAACCTGAGTGGGTTCAATTTTTGATGATTTGTGCATTGTGGGACTCTGTTTAAATTTCCCTATTTTACCAATTCTAATGAGTAGTATTATAATGTCTATAAAAATAGGAAAATGGAACTTGTTATGTCTGTCAGAATGTTCCGCGAGAGAGAGAGAGAGATTCGAGTGAGGAGATTGATCTAAATGTTTATTTAGAGAGGGACCAGGCTGTCTAATGAACTTGATCCCTTGCAAATCGCAGATAAACTTAATTTGGAGGCTCTGAGCGTTGGTGCTTTGCGTGTCTTCATCCTAACAGTCTTTGCAATAGTGAATCGTTGCCGATCTTTTTGGCACAAGTTCATTTGGCCTCAGTTCCCCATCTATTTTTTGCCCATCCTGACAGCTCCCTTGGCTTTCTTGTGGTTGATGCTCCTCTGGCCCCTTTGGGTCGAGTCGCCATGCGTCGGATGGGCCTCTTTCGCCATGGTTGCACGGCAGTCTGGCGCTCATCATACGCATTTGCGAACCGGCCACCGGAAAGGTCGCACACAGTCTCGTGGGACCACAACGTTCGGGAGGATCTTTGATCTCTGTTTTGTGCCGGCCGAACAGGCCTCCTGCCACCTCCGGAGCCCAGCAACCGGCGAGGTTAACGCCAGATCCGAGAGAGGAGGCGCCGCCGATGGCCTGGTCATTGGGAGAGGTGAGCCAACGACGCATGGATTCACGTCGTCGAAGTCGTACTGCAAGTAGGTCCAGCTCAAGAGAGCGCTGCTTCAGCTTCGAGTCCAACGCCAGCTGGAACCGAGCACTGGCCAGTTCTCCAAGATGTCGTTCAGTGGACTTCACGGATTCTTTCAGATATTTAGAGGACTGGGGACCGTGCAAAGACAGTTTATTATTATACAGAACGGCAAAACGTAATATTCTATCTGAAAGTGCAGTACAATGAGAATAATTATTCGGTAGCCCGTCGGCAGAAAGCAACATTTAAAGCCTTATAG